GCACCGAAAGCCGCCAGCGCCCGCGGCGCCGCCATGTCGCGCTGGCCGGGGAACTACAAGTCCCGGGATGCCGTGCGGCTTCCCGCCCCCGGGCGGCCGCTGGGGTGTGGGTTCCGCACCTTCCTCGACGAGGGGAAGGGATGTTTTTGTTAGGAAAACAGTTTGAAAATCTAGTCATAGTCGAAAATCTAGTGTTTATTTTGAGGTCTGGGGAGATGAATTAGGTCTGGGCTGTTTATTTTCAGGTGGCTTTGTGTCATTCTCCTGGGTGTTTGCTTCACAAAATATGCTGAATGTGGCAGTTTTTGTGTTTTGGGGTGTTTTTTCCCTGCAGCCTATAGTAGCTACAGCAAGCACTCTCCTTGTGCACCTTGCATGTTGCTCAGGGAGGTGTTACTATTAACTGTGTGAGGAAAAGAGGACATGATGAGTCTGAACACCACCCCTTTGATTGAACAAAGTTTTCAGATGTTAGCACACTGTTCGAGCATAAAGAAAAAGAAAAGGCAGGTGAGGAAGGGTGGAAAGCAAGAATGGGGACAAGCTCCCCCTTACTCCCTATAAGGGGAAGAAGGACTTTGTCCTCCCTTGGAGGTGGTAGTGGAGGACACTTCTACCCAGGACGGCATGTAGGGTTTGATGGCGTGGGGAGAAGGAGGACTGTGAGAAACGTGATAACAAGTAGATGGGTAGTTATTGAGGTGTGAACTATGGGAATGGCCCTGAGGTTGGTGGTGTGTGCTGAGAGTGCAGCTCTTGGGCAGGAGTGCCCTGTCCTGCATGGCGTCATCCTCCCTTCACCGTGCTTCCTCCTCAGGTAGGCAGCCAAGAACTGCAGTAGGCCACGGGAAATCTTTGGAGTGTATTCAGTCAAGCTGTATTAAGAAAAAAAACCCATGATGCTGCAGAAATGACCAATATTTAATCCAGGGTTGGTATATATCATCCCTGGTTTTAAAAAAATCTGCTAAAATTGAACGCTACTATGAAGGAAGTCCAGGCAATGGAGAGAACGCTCCATGCGGGTGTTTCTGAGAGGAAGGCAGTGAAAAAAGCTGTTGTCTTCTTGATGAATCCTCTTCTGCATTCTGCAAACCTTGTGTCGTGCGAGGTCTTCGGCATAGTTGGCCATTTGTGTAGAGCTTGTTTAGCAAGATAGTGGTGGGGTTACGTTCCTGAGCCTAGCTGGTGATGGAGGCAAAAGTTACATCATAAATTCAGCTCAGATCTCATGTGTGACCTTGAGCAAATTAAAACGTAGCTCTGTAGTACTGTCAACACCAAGCCTTCACACATTATAAATCAGCCCTATGAAAACAGATTGCCTAAACTATAATGAGATTTCTGGAAACAATGCCCCGGGGAGGATTTTTACTGGACTCTCATTTTTGCATTGTAAGCAATATAAACATCTGCTGATTTCTCTTCCGCATTTTCCTGAGTCAGTGCAGAGATTCTCAGTCATATGAACCTAGAAACTATATGACTAAATTGCAGAAGTGGGCAAAAGTATTGCAGTATACATTGCATTGAAGAGCAATTGTAGTGAGCATTGAAGTATACGTGGAAGTATAGAGGATTGATGATGATGGGAAAAAAAGCCAAGTCTTACCCAAGTCTTGCAGAGCTCTTCACATCAATTTTAGGATTTAGAGCTTGGTTTAGTCTCATTATTACAGTGTATATATGTATTGTTGAGTCATTTTAGAACAGATGTTTTCCTCTGTCTGTCATTTGAAGTAATGATTGAGTTTTCAGGCTCTCTGTAAATAAATGGCTGAGGTGAAACATCTCCGCCTGGAAGGTCTGCATGTCCTGGCAGAGCAGCAGCAGAAGTGGTGCAGTGCTGGGCCCTGAGGCAGAGCTGACATCAGCGGCGGGGGGGTCCCGCTTGCTCCCCTGGAGCTGGGCAAGGGGGTAATGACAGGGGTGATGTCAGGGGCTGGGGGCGGTGCCGCCTACCTGGGTGCAGTTTTAGTGGAACCAGGCACTGGCACAGATGACACAGACCAGGGCATTGTAGCAGGGCCGCCCGCTGCCATCTCCTGGCAGATGAGGCTGGGGGTCTGGTCCTGCTGCACCCGCTGCACTGGGCAGTGCTTCCAGCAGAAGGACCTGCAGGATGGAGGTGACAGCTCAGCCCCAGCCCTCCTCTGGCCTGGCCTTGCGAGGGGCTGTAGTGAAGGAGATGGCTGGGCGTGGGGATACTGATGTGGTCAAAGACCATCCTGATGCTTCTTTGTTTGGGGAACAGATGCCCGAGGGCGCTCCCTGTCACAGGGGGTTTGTGACCCAGCTCCACATGTGCTGTGTGGTGAAGGCCCTGACTGAAGGGCAACCCCCGGGTGAGATGCTGGTGTCACCCCAAGGGGCAGAAGCTGAGCCCAGGCTGGGGAGGGGGAAGCACTGTGGGAGCTGCCGTGGGGCTGAGGCTGCCCTGCCCGAAGGGGAACAGTGAAACCAGGGCATGGGGAGGGCAAGGGGGTTCCCGTGGGTCCCTTCTCTCATGTTGGAGCTCCAGCAGGGACTTCAGAGGCACCCAAAGAGTTTGATAATCCAAACACTTTATTTAGGCATCAAAACTACTGACTCCTCATTAACAGGCCTGTTGATATCTTTTAAATAATTTTTTTATTTTCACTTAGCAAACAAAATTTAGTTTAACAAATGTATGTCAATTAGCATAAATTTTTCTGTTGAAGAAGGATGCAGCTCAAGCACTCTGTGTGTCTGATACCGGAGGCTGAGCCCACTGCACTGGGGCAGCAGTAGGGAAGAGTCAGTACTTCAGCGTCTGGAAGTGCTTCAGATGATTCTGCACCCAGGGCTCCTGGGGGTCCGCACACAGCTTTGTCCCCTTCTTGGTGACCAGGCTGCCGGGAGAAAAATGTTTGGGTGCTCAGCTGGAGCAGCAGCGTGCCTGTGCTGGGTCCCGCTGGCAGCACCCTGGGTATCCCCGACTGTACTCCGTTCCCCCTCCTGGCCACCCTTGGACACGCCTGAGGTGCTGCCCTGGCCGTTGCACCCTGACCCCTGTCAGTGGTGGGTACTCACACCACTGCCGGCAGGGAGCACTTGCTGCTGGTGCGGTAGGTGGAGGCGATGAGTCTGCGCGGTATGGGGCGGCTCAGGTAGCTGAAGCAGCAGTTGGTGGAGACAATACCTGTGGGGGCAGAGAGACAGCCCCAGTGACATCCCATACTGTGGCAGATGCTGTGCCTGAGGCTCCTAGGGGATTCACCATCACCTGTGCTGTATCATCCTAGGACAGCCCCTGGAAGCCTTCATCCCTGAGGCTGAGTCCCAGCACTGGTGATGACCACTCGCTCCTAGCCCTCCCCCTGGACACAAAGGTCCCATCAGTCAGGATGGGGCTTTCTCCTGGGGAAGGACAGCAAACCTGGCGTGTGGGAGGACACAGCAACATTGGAGTCACTGAGACTGGCCTCAGCCGAGGAGCAGATGGCCACGAGAAGCAGAGTGGCCAGGGTGGCTGCAGGGACCTTCATGGTGTTGCAGTGGCCAAGGGAACCACGAGCAGAGCTGGAGCTTCAGGGCTCTTCTCTGCACAATGCTCAGCTACTGCTGCCACTGCCCTCCTTTTATTCCTGGCTGCTGGGTGGATGCAGGGTTTCAAGGAAAGAAAATGGGGAAATTATGTCAGGACCGCCCAGTTTTTCTGAGCTGGAGAAAACAAGGAAACTGCAGAAGAGGAAGTGCTGGCCATGGGGCTGTGAGTTTCAGATTTGAGAGAGAACATGTGTTATGAGGGGTGGCTAGGGGAACTGAGATTATTTAGCCTGGAGAAAAGGAGGCTGAGGGGAGACCTTTCGCTCTTTAGAACTACCTGAAAGGAGGTTGATAGGCAAGTGGCTGTTGGTTTCTTCTCCCAAGTAACAAGTGATAGGACAAGAGGAAATGGCCTCAAGCTATGCCAGGGGAAGTTTAGGTTGGATATTAGGAAAAAATTCTTCACCAAAAGTGTTGTCAATCATTGGAATAGGGTGCCCAGGGAAGTAGTGGAGTCACCATCCCCGGAGGTATTTAAAAGACGTGTAGATGTGGTGCTTTGGGACATGGAATGGTGTTGGAATGGAAGGATACAGGCTCTATGGGAAGGACAGGCAGGGCAGATGAGGAGGGGGTGTCGCCCTCTATGACCAGCTGGAGTGCATGGAGCTCCACCTGGCGATGTGTGAGGAGCCGACCGGGAGCTTATGGGTCAGGATTAAAGGGAGGGCAGGGACAGGGGAGATTATAGTGGGGGTCTGCAACAGGCCACCTGACCAGTAAGCCCTGGTCCTCATGGGGGATTTCAGTCATACTAATACCTGTTCAAAGGACAACACAGCAGGGCATAAGCAATTCAGGAGATTCCTGGAATGTGTTGATGATAACTTCCTTCTCCAAGTGATAGAGAAGCCAATGAGGAGAGGTGCCATGGTGGACCTTGTTCTCACCAGAAAGGAGGGGCTGGTGGGGAATGTGAAGCTCAAGGGCAGCCTTGGCTGCAGTGATGATGAAATGGTGGAGTTCAAATCCATAGGGCAGTGAGGAGGCCACACAGCAAGCTCACTACCCTGGACTTCAGGAGATCAGAGGTTGGCCTGTTCAGGGACCGGCTTGGTAGAGTACCATGGGACAAAGCCCTGGAGGGAAGAGGGGCCCAAGAAAGCTGGTTAGTATTCAACGATCACCTCCTCCAACCTCAGCAGAGATGCACCCCAACAAAGACAAGTCAGGTAAAAATTCCAGGAAGCCTGTGTGGATGAACAAGGAACTCCTGGGCGAAGTCAAACACCAAAAGGAAGCCTATGTAGGGTGCAAGCAAGAGCAGGTAGCCTGTGAGGAATACAGAGAAATTGTCTGAGCAGCCAGGGATCAGGTTAGGAAAGCTAAAGCTCTGATAGAATTAAATCTGGCCAGGGATGTCAAGGACAACAAGAAAAGCTTCTATAGGTACGTCAGTGATAAAAAGAAGACTAGGGAAAATGTGGGCCCTCTCCAAAAGGAAACAGGAGACCTGGTTACCTGGGATATGGAGAAGGCTGAGGTACTCAATGACTTTGCCTCAGCCTTCATCAGCAAGTGCTCTAGCCACACCACCTGAGCTGCAGAAGGCAAAGGCAGGGACTGGGAGAATGAAGAACCACCCACTGTAGGAGAAGATCAAGTTTGAGAATATCTAAGGAACCTGAAGGTGCACAAGTCCATGGAACTTGATGAGATATATCTGCGGGTACTGAGGGAACTGGCAGATGAAGTGGCCAAGCCACTATCCATCATATCTGAGAAGTTGTGGCAGTCCAGTGAAGTTCCCACTGACTGGAAAAGGGGAAGCATAACCCTCTTTTTTAAAAAGGTAAAAAAGGAAGACCCAGGGAACTACAGGCTGGGCAGCCACCTCCGTGCCCAACAAGACCGTGGAGCAGATCCTCCTGGAAACTATGTTGAGGCACGTGGAAAATAAGGAGGTGATTAGTGACAGCAAACGTGGTTTCACTAAGGTCTAATTGTGCCTAAAAAATTTGGTGGCCTTCTGCATCAGGGTTACAGCGTAGGTGGATAAGGGAAGAGCAACTGACATCATCTACCTGGACTTGTGCAAAGCATTTGACACTGTCCGACACAACATCCTTTTCTCTAAATTGGAGACACATGGATTTGATGGATGGACCACTTGGTGGATAAGGAATTAGCTGGATGGTCACACTCAAAGAGTTGTGGTCAATGGCTTGATGTCCAAGTGGAGACCAGTGATGAGTGGCGTTCCTTAGGGGTCACTATTGGGACCGGCACTGTTTAACATCTTTGACGACATGGACAGTGGGATCGAGTGCACCCTCAGCAAGTTTGCCGACAACACCAAGCTGCGTAGTGTGGTTGGCACACTGGAGGGAAGGGATGCCATCCAGAGGGACCTTGACAGGCTTGAGAGGTGGGCCGGTGCAAACCTCATGAAATTCAACAAGGCCAAGTGCAAGGTCTGGCACATGGCTCAGGGCAATCCCAAGCACAACTACAGGCTGGGCAGAGAATGGATTGAGAGCAGCCCTGAGGAGAAGGACTTGGTGATGTTGGTGGACAAGAAGCTCAACATGACGTGGCAATGTGCACTTGCAGCCTGAAAAGCCAACTGTGTCCTGGGCCACATCAAAAGAAGCATGGACAGCAGATTGAAGGAGGTGATTCCCCCTCTACTCCACTCTTGTGAGACCCCACCTGGCGTACTGGTCCAGCTCTGGAGTCCCCAACATAAGAAGGACATGGAGCTGTTGGAGCGGGTCCAGAGGAGGCCATGAAGATGATGAGAGTGCTGGAGCACCTCTCCTATGAGGACAGGCTGAGAGAGTTGGGATTGTTCAGCCTGGAGAAGAGAAGGCTCCGGGG